TGGTCTGGGGAGGCATATCCATGGAGGGACGCACAGACCTCTACAGGCTAGACAATGGCACCCTGACTGCCATTAGGTATGGGGATGAAATCCTTGGACCCATTGTCAGACCCTACACTGGTACAGGGGGTCCTGGGTTCCTCCTGGTGCAGGGGGTCCTGGGTTCCTCCTGGTGCAGTGGGTCCTGGGTTCCTCTTGGTGCAGTGGGTCCTGAGTTCCTCCTGGTGCGGTGGGTCCTGGGTTCCTCCTGGTGCGTTGGGTCCTGGGTTCCTCCTGGTGCGGTGGGCCCTGGGTTCCTCCTGGTGCAGTGGGTCCTGGGTTCCTGCTGGTGCACGACAATGCCCGGGCCTCATGTGGGGGAGAGTATGCAGGCAGTTCCTGGAGGATGAAGGAATTGATACCATTGAATGGCCCCCACGCTCACCTGACCTAAGTCCAATAGAACCCCTCTGGGATGTCATGTTTCGGTCCATCCGACACCTCCAGGTTGCACCTCAGACTGTCCAGGAGCTCAGTGATGTCCTGGTCCAGATCTGGGAGGAAATCCCCCAGGACACCATCCGTGGTCTCATTAGGAGCCTCCCCCGACGTGGTCAGGCATGCATACAAGCACGTGGGGGCCCAAACACACAGACTACTGAGGGCCATTCTGAGTTGCTGCAATGACATTTCACCAACATGGACTCGCCTGCTGCATCATCATTTTATCACTTTGATTTTCGGGGTGTCTTTGAATTCAGTCCTCTGTAGGTCGATCATTTCCATCAAACGATGGGCGTCCTTACGTTCCTCACCCATCACCCCCGTCCATGTCAGTATAGAGATCCAGCAGGAGATTTCCCCCCATTGAGATCTGATGGGTTTTCAAAGAGTTCCTTTCATTTTTTGGAGCCGTGTATTATGTTAATGAGGAGGTAATGGAAGCAAGGAAGGCCCCCCTGCCCCGGCCCCCTCCTTTTCTCTTCTTTTGCTCCTCTATTCCTGGCCTCTCCCCACCCAGCTCCCTTTCCCTTTCCTGACTCCAGTCTTCTTTGTGACTCTCCCCTTCCCCATCTTTTGTTTTCTCCCTATCCTGCCCCCTGTCCCTCCTCCCCCTCCTTTCTTTCCCCTTCCCTCCTCTATCTATTGCCCCCCCCCCCCCCATATCCCCCCTTTATGGCTCCCTCTTCCTCCCTTCTGTCTTTCTTTCCTATTCCTCACTCTCTTTTCTCTCTCCTCCCCCCTCCCCCTCCCCCCCCCCCCATGCCTCCACAACCGCTTTGTATTTCTCCCATGTCCCCATTTCTCTCACCCTTTTCTTGACACACCCCATTCCCCCAAATCTCCTTTATCTCCCCCCCCCTCATTTCTCTCGCCTCTCTCCCTATTCCTCCCCCTGCCACCCCCATCCCAACTCTCTTGCTCCTGACCCCCCCCATCACCTCAATCCCCTGCCCCCCCTTCCTCTTGCCCCCCTCTCTCCTCTTCCCTCCTCTATACATCTTCATTGCTCTTCTCCCTGTCTGCGTCTTTGAATTTCTCTCAAATATCTTCCAAGCCCTGGGGCCGCCGCTGTGCATCCATCCCATAATAGTTGGCCACTGGCAGCAGCAGGAAAGCGCACTGGGACTGAAAATCGAGACTTGTGGTCAGAAACTCCCAGTGAAGTGAGCAACTTTTGGGAGTTTTGGAAGATGTGCGCAAAAAATTTCACAGCTCATCAGGGGGATAAAAACCAAAGAATGGAAACCGCCCAAATGGTTTGAGAATTCCTAAATGATAGTCATTGTGGGCAGAGGAGATGGAGCCATGGAGACACGCTACACGGATGACACGCTAAAATTCCTGATCACGCCATGACGCCGTGTGCTGCACTTTCATCTTTATTACAGTAAAGAGAACCTCCCTAGTCTACAGCTTAATACATAGAAAGCTGCGCTGCAGAAATAATTACATAGAAGGGAACTTTGTAATTCTTCCATCCAGTCCTGAGATTCACACAGCTTTGCCACAGAGCAGAGTCCTGTCTAGTAGGAAAGAAGACCTGACTTTTATATGCTGCAGTTCAGTACCACTTGAAAGTCTTGCCGCTCCCCTGTGATTGGACAGTGAAAGGAGAAGCAGTTGACTGATGAGATGATCTCTCTGTAACTCGTCTCTCTCTGTCTCACACATTGGTGTTTAGTGGCCGAGAGTTAATTCCCCCACCCCTCCCGCATTTGTGGTCAATGGCAGTGAGTTAAATCCCCATCGGTGGTCATTACCTATCACACATTCAAGTCTCTCTCTCCCCCCCTTCTCTCCTCTCTCCCTCTTCCTCTCTCTCTCCCCCTCTCTCTCTCTCCTCCCCTCCCCCCTCTCTTTCTCCTCCCTCCCTCCTCCCTCTGTCTCTCCCTCTCTTTCTCCCTTTCTCTCTCTGTCTTCTTCTTTCTCCCCCCCCTTTCTCTCCTCCCCTTCTCACCCCTATCCCCCCCTCTCTCTCTTTCTCCCTCTATCTCCCTCCCCCTCCTTCCCCCTCTCTCCCCCCCCCTCTCTCCCTCTATTCTCTCCCTCCCCCCCTTCTCTCTCCCTCTCTTTCTCCCCCCCCCTCTCTTTCTCCCTCTCTCTCTCTCCCCTTCTCTCTCCCTCTCTCTCTCCCCCTCTTTCTCCCCCCTCTCTCCCCTCCTCCCTCTCTCTCTCCACTCCCTCTCTTTCTCTCCCTCCCTCCCCTTCTCCCTCTCTCTCTCTTTATTCTCATTCTCCCCCCTCCCCCCTCTCTCTCTCCCCCTCTCTCTCTTTCTTTCTCACGCCTCCCTCCCCTTCCCCTTTCCCTCTCTTTCTCTCACTTATCCCCCCTCCCCCCCCTATCTCTCTCCCCCCCCATCTCTCTCTTTCTCTCTCTCCCTCCCCTTCTCTCTCACCCCCCTTCCCTCTTTTCCCTCCCGTTCCCCCCTCTTTCTCTCTCTTTCCCTCTCTTCTCTCTCCCTCTCCCCTCCTCCCCCCCTCTCTCCCCCTCTCTTTCTTTCCCCTCTCCCTCCCCTTCTCTCTCCCTCTCTCTCTCCCTCTCTCTCCCCCTCTCTCCCCCCCTCTCTCTTTCTTTCTCTCCCTCCCTTTCTCTCTCTCTCTCTCTTTATCTCCCTCACTCTCCCCCCTCTCTCCTCTCTCCCCCTCTCTCTAAACCCTCCCTCCCCCCTCTCTCCACCCCCCCCCTCTCTCTCCACTATCTCTCCTCTCCCCCTTCCCCCTCTCCCCCCTCCTCTCCCTTCTCTTCCTCTCCCCCCTCTTCTCTCCCCTCACTCTCTTTCGTCTCGCTCCCCCCTCTCTCTCCCTCTCTTTCTCTCCTCTCTCCCCCCCTCTCTCTCTCTCCCTCCCCCCCCTCTCTCTCCCTAAAATTTTGAATTTTTTTTCCATAACAATCATTTCATATTCTGCAAGTGGACAACTTCTACAGTAAAAATCCCCTATTCACAGTTCACTGCTTTTACAGTAAAGAATAACTGTTAATATATACACTACTATGATGTCTAAACATCCTCTCCTATGATATTTTTTTTTTCATATGCAGCTGGACAAACTTTACAGTAAAGATCCCCTACCGCACAGCCCACTGCTCTTGCAGTAAAGAATAATAACTGTGAATACATAACTATGATATCTAAACTGTTCTGCAACTAAACAACTTTTACAGTTAAGATCCCTTACTCACAGCTCATGGTGTTTTTTCAGTAAAGGATCCATCCTTTTTACCCTATAACCCTGTACTGAAAAGAAACTAAGTTGGGTGGTTGTCTCTAAGGTTCAGTAGTCTATGAGTCACAGACAAGTGGACGGTGAAATCAGAGCGGAGTTGCAGCGGATCTGTCTCCCTGTACATAGCATTTCAGAAGGTGAGAGAGCAGCGATAGCAGCCAACACGCTTCGCTCCTTCTTTAATTACTATTATTACATTATCCTTGTGTTAGTAATGATTTATTTTGTTCCCAGGGATTCACGCATTTACCCAATTATCTGTTAGACTTTATTTCTGTTACAGTTAATAATCTGTTGCACAGAATTAATTTCTTTTAATGCCTGGAAATGCATCCCTTTCCATAACATAACTGCTCTTACAGTAAAGATCACCTTCCTGTCCTTCAGCTCAACGGCCTTACTGTAAGGAACCTTCTCCTATTTCACACTATGCCGCAGCTTAACCTCTCTTGCAGTTAAGAATTGTGTCTGCTTCTAAGTCTAACTACTCTTACAGAAAAGAAAACCTTCTCATTGCCTGGGAACTGTGCCTGCTTCTCATTCTAATGACACTTACAGTAAAAAAACCCCTTCCCATTGTCTGGGAACTGTACCTGCTTCTCATTCTAATGACACTTACAGTAAAGAACCCCTTCCCATTGCCTGGGAACTGTGCCTACTTCTCATTCTAATGACACAGTAAAAAAACCCTTCCCATTGTCTGGGAACTGTACCTGCTTCTCATTCTAATGACTCTTACAGTAAAGAACCCCTTCCCATTGCCTGGGAACTGTGCCTGCTTCTCAGTCTAATGACACTTACAGTAAAGAACCCCTCCCATTGCCTAGGGACTGTGCCTGCTTCTCAGTCTAACCACTCTTACAGCAATTATCACCATCCCATTGAACAGCTTAAAGTGTTACAAAACCCAGGACCCCGCATTCACTATATCCACTCTCCCCGGACCCCACATTCACTATATCCACTCTCCCCGGACCCCGCATTCACTATATCCGCTCTCCCCGGACCCCGCATTCACTATATCCGCTTTCCCAGGACCCCGCATCCCAGGACCCCTGCACTATATCCGCTCTCCCCGGACCCTGCATTCACTATATCCGGTCTCCCCGGACCCCGCATTCACTATATCCGCTCTCCCCGGACCCTGCATTCACTATATCCGCTCTCCCCGGACCCCGCATTCACTATATCCGCTCTCCCCGGACCCTGCATTCACTATATCCGCTCTCCCCGGACCCCGCATTCACTATATCCGCTTTCCCAGGACCCCACATTCACTATATCCGCTCTCCCCGGACCCCGCATTCACTATATCCGCTCTCCCCGGACCCTGCATTCACTATATCCGCTCTCCCCGGACCCCGCATTCACTATATCCGCTCTCCCCTGACCCTGCATTCACTATATCTGGTCTCCCCGGACCCCGCATTCACTATATCCGCTCTCCCCGGACCCCGCATTCACTATATCCGCTCTCCCGGACCCTGCATTCACTATATCTGGTTTCTCCTGACCCTGCATTCACTATATCCGCTCTCCCCAGACCCTGCATTCACTATATCCTCTCTCCCCGGACCCCGCATTCACTATATCCGCTCTCCCCGGACCCCGCATTCACTATATCCGCTCTCCCCGGACCCTGCATTCACTATATCCGCTCTCCCCAGACCCCGCATTCACTATATCCGCTCTCCCCAGACCCCGCATTCACCATATCCGCTCTCCCCGGACCCTGCATTCACTATATCCGCTCTCCCCGGACCCTGCATTCACTATATCCGCTCTCCCCGGACCCCGCATTCACTATATCCGCTCTCCCCGGACCCTGCATTCACTATATCTGGTCTCCCCGGACCCCACACTCACTATATCCGCTCTCCCTAGACCCCGCATTCACTATATCCGCTCTCCCCGGACCCTGCATTCACTATATCCGCTCTCCCCGGACCCCGCATTCACTATATCCGCGCTCTCCCCGGACCCTGCATTCACTATATCTGGTCTCCCCGGACCCCGCATTCACTATATCCGGTCTCCCCGGACCCCGCATTCACTATATCCGGTCTTCCCGGACCCCGCATTCACTATATCTGCTCTCCCCGGACCCTGCATTCACTATATCTGGTCTCCCACAGTACACAGAACATGGAAATGGAATTATTTTAGTAAATATAAACTGCTAAATACATTTTCTCATCAGCAGTATATAGCAGTCTAGTGACTTCTATCTGTGTCCAGCCTAGCAATAGCTAAAGCTTGTAGGAGGAGTTTTCTTTCTGCTCTAGGAGGATGCAGAACCCCTGACCTCTCCCAAGGAAAAAAAAACTCTCTAGCAATACACACCTAACTGAGCATGTGCATGCCAAAGGTTCAGTCTGGAGATAAGTGGTGGTAAGTTGAAAAAGGGGAGGAACAGAGAAGACAGGATCAAACAGCCTTTTTACAGAATGCAGAGGATTAACCCCTTAGGTTCCACAGTGAGTATAACAAGCATGCTTTCCTGCATCTACAGACTGATTGTACTGTTGGGGGTTTAGTAACACTTTAATAATTATTTCAGTAAGGATCCCCAGAGTAACTGACTCAGCTTTAACCAGCTTACATTAAAGAGTCTCCTTTTTCACACTTAACATCTCCTACAAATAAAAAGCCAAATCCTATATCCTGTGTTAACCACATTTACAGTAGAGAACCCCTCCTTTTTGCAGCCTAACTACTTTTACTGTAAAAAAAAAAAATCTCCATCTTATTCTTTCCTTTCTGCAGCACACACATCTCTTTATTCAACAGTTAAGTCTCTATTACAATATCAAACTTTTATACAGCTTAAAAAATGTTTCCTATCCTTCCAATGACTCTTACAGTAATGAATCCTTTCCCATTCTAGAGTTTCACTACTTTTACAGCAATCCCCATCTATAACATATTTAACCACTTTCATAATAAAGAACCTGATCTATTCCATGGCTTAACCATGCATAGAAAATATCCCCATTCTTGTCTGTAGCTTAACTGCTCTTACAGTAGAAACCCCTTCCACTGATAATGATGTTTTTTTTCCAGACCGGCTTTGTTTTTGATCTTTTTCATTAGGTTGATCTTAAGATATTATTTTTACTCTGATTTTGAAAGAATAATACATTAAATCGTTCAGTTTTTTATCTTTAGGACGTATCCTTTCAGTGAATACTATGAAGGTGAGGACATGGCGTATGCCGGTATATAGGGACCTGTTCTTCATATATATTCCGGGATGGAATTCATCTTCGGTGTGGAAGGGTTAAGCACCAGCCTGCAGATTTCCACTCTGTCTGAGGATAAGGGAGAGGATTATATCCAGACGGAGAGATTAACGATCAGATATTCCGTGGATGTTTGGGATTGTGTGTGATGGGATTGTGTGTGATGGCCGGGATTGTGTGTGATGGCCGGGATTGTGTGTGATGGGATTGTGTGTGATGGCCGGGATTGTGTGTGACGGGCCAGGATTGTGTGTGATGGGATTGTGTGGGGGGTTTGGGGGGGGTTGTGGGGGTGTGGGGGGCAGGATTGATTGTGTGTGACGGGCCAGGATTGTGTGTGATGGGATTGTGTGTGTGATGGCCGGGGATTGTGTGTGATGGGCCAGGATTGTGTGTGATGGGCCGGGCTTCTCTACAGTTGGGTCTGTTGAAAGAACATCCACCACCGCTTTTTATTTTTACCCTTATTAGTTGGAATATATATATATATATACACAGGATATACAGATATACAGGATATACAGATATACAGGATATTACAGATATATACAGATATACAGGATATACAGATATACAGGATATACAGATATATACAGATATACAGATATATACAGATATACAGATATACAGGATATACAGATATATACAGATATATACAGATATACAGATATACAGGATATACAGATACACAGATATACAGATATATACAGAATATACAGATACACAGGATATACAAATATAAAAGGTATACAGGATATAAAAGATATAAAGATATACAGGATATACAAATACACGACAGGATATACAGACATACAGATACACAGGATATACAGATATACAGATATACAGATACACAGATATACAGATATACAGGATATACAGATATATACAGATATACAGACATACAGATACACAGATACACAGGATATATACAGATACACATGATATACAGATATACAGATACACAGATACACAGGATACACAGATATACAGATACACAGGATATACAGATATACAGATACACAGGATATACAGATACACAGGATATACAGATATACAGATATACAGATACACAGGATATACAGATACACAGAACATACACATATGTTATTAGTTAAATTGTTAAATTTAAATTAATAAGAAAGACAGAAGGCTAAAAATAAATATATATTTTTATTTTGGAAAGGCGACTTAAAGCCCAATTCCAGTCATACCTTTATTTGGGTTATATTACGGCTGTTATGTTTTTAAAACAACTGAAAACAAATCTTCTAGGCGCATTGCAATATACATCATTATCCTTCTTCTGAAATGAAAGCAGTGTGTACTGAAATGGCCAGAGGCAGAGGCCATGTTCACTGGTTGGGCCGAAAGGGTTTGCTAAAGTATATTTTGCTTGTTACAGCCCCCCCCCCCCCCGGATGCCCATGTAAACAAGGTCTAAATAAGTATTCAGCAAGCCATCACCAACCTATGTAGCTGAAAGAGCACCGTGGAGCAAGTCATCCTCAAATTTTACAGCATAAAGCACCTTCAGATTCTTTGTAGCTCAGCTTCCTCACTCATATATAACATATTTTAATAACATACTAATGTTATTTTTTTAATAGCACTCTCAGGTGTAATTTGAGGGTATGTACATCCAAATTGGAGGAAGGGTTTAGGGATTACAGCTCTTAAGAGTAGCCACCCCCCCTTGTTCAAGGGACCAAAAAGTAATTGGACAGTTTAATCAAAAGCTGTTTCATGGCCAGGTGTGGGCTACTCCTTCATTATTTCTTCATCAGTTAAGCAGGTAGAAGGTCTGGGAGTTGATTCTAAGTGTGGGATTTGCATTTGGAATCTATTGCTGTGAACCTGCATCATGCGTTTAGAGGAACTGTCCATGCAAGTGAAACCGGCCATTGTAAGGCTTCAAAGGTGAAACAAATCCATCAGAGAGATTGCAGCAACATTAGGAGTGACCAAATTAACAGTTTGGTCCATTCTGAGGAAAGAAGAATGCACTTAGTGAGCTCAAACAACATAAAAAGGCATGGAGGTCCATGGAAGACAACAGTGGTGGATGATCGCAGGATCCTCTCTATGGTAAAGAAAAAACCCATTCACAACATCCAGACAAGTGAAGGACACTCTCCAGGAGGGGGGAGTATCATTGTCAAAGTCTGCAATCAAGAAAGACTTCACGAGAGCAAATACAGAGGGACCACCACAAGGTGCAAACCATTCATAAGCCTGAAGAATAGAAAAGCCAGGTTAGGCTTTGCCAAAAAACATCTAAAAAAGCCAGACCAGTTCTGGAAAAGCATTCTTTGGATGGATGAAACTAAGATTAGTCTGTACCAGAATGACGGGAAGAAAAAAGTGTGGAGAAGGTTTGGAACAGCTCCTGATCCAAAGCACACAACGTCATCTGTAAAACATGGTGGAGGCAGTGTGATGGCATGGGTGGAGGCAATGTGATAGCATGGGTGGAGGCAGTGTGATGGCATGGGTGGAGGCGGTGTGATGGGATGGGTGGAGGCAATGTGATGGCATGGGTGGAGGCGGTGTGATGGGATGGGTGGAGGCAATGTGATGGCATGGGTGGAGGCGGTGTGATGGGATGGGTGGAGGCAGTGTGATGGCATGGGTGGAGGCGGTGTGATGGGATGGCCAAGATTCAGCCTAGCAGCAAAGTGGAGGCAAATGTGATGGCATGGGTGGAGGCGGTGTGATGGGATGGGCATGCATGCTTCCAGTGGCACGGGGTCATTGGTGTTTATTGATGATGTGACAGAAGCAGCCGGATGAATTCTGCCGTGTTTAGAGATATACTGTCAGCCCAGAATTCAGCCAAATGCAGCAAAGGTGATTGGACGGCGCTTCACAGTACAGATGGACAATGATCCAAAACACTGCAAAAGCAACTCAGGAGCTTTTGAAGGAAAAGAAGTGGAATTTTCTGCAATGGCCGAGTCAATCACCTGATCTCAACCCAATTGAGCATGCATTTCACTTGCTGAAGGCAAAACTAAAGGCAAAAAGACCCACAAACAAAGAACAACTGAAGACAGCTGCAGTTAGAGCCTGGCAAAGCATCAGAAAGGAGGAAACCCCCCAGTCTTTGGTCTTGTCCATGGGTTCCAGACTTCAGGCAAAGCATCAGACTTCAGGCAAAGCATCAGAAAGGAGGAAAACCCAGTCTTTGGTCATGTCCATGGGTTGCAGACTTCAGGCAAAGCATCAGAACGGAGGAAACCCAGTCTTTGGTCATGTCCATGGGTTCCAGACTTCAGGCAAAGCATCAGAAAAAAGGATGTTCCTGGGAAAACCCAGTCTTTGGTCATGTCCCTGGGTTCCAGACTTCAGGCTATTGCCAGTAAAGGATTGTTAACAAAATATTACAATGAACATTTTATTTTATGAAATACCCATTGTCCAGTTACTTTTTGGTTTAAGAAAGGGGGCCATGCTCTTAAGAGCTGTAATTCCTAAACCCTTCCATGACAATGGACAATGATCCAAAACATCAAAAGCACTAACTCAGGAGCTTCTGAAGGAAAAGAAGTGGAATTTTTTGGCCGAGTCATTCACCTGATCTCAACCCAATGAGGCATTTCCTTGCTGAAGGCAAAACTAAAGGCAAAAAGCAAACTGAAGAAAGTTAGAGCCTGGCAAATCAGAAAGGAGGAAACCCCCAGTTTTTGGTCATGTCCATGGGTTCCAGACTTTAGGCAAACATCAGGAAAAAAACCCATCAGAAAGGTCCATGGGTATTCCAGAAACCCATCTTTGGCCATGTCCATCATGGGTTCCAGACTTCAGGCAAAGCATCAGAAAGGAGAGGAAACCCAGTCTTTGGCCATGTCCATGGGTTCCAGACTTCAGGCAAAGCATCAGAAAGGAGGAATGTCCAGGGGTTCCAGACTTCAGGCAAAATGGGCATTTCCATGGGTTCCAGACTTCAGGCAAAGCATCAGGCAAAGCATGTCCATGGGTTCCAGACTTCAGGCAAAGGAGGAAAACCCAGTCAAGGCAAAGCATCAGAAGGAGGCAGTGGGTTCCAGATCAGGCAAAGCATCAGAAAGGGGTTCCAGTCTTTGGACATGTCAGGTTCCAGACTTAGCTATTGCCAGTAAAGGATTGTTAACAAAATATTAAAAATGAACATTTTATTTATGATTATATTCAATTGTCCAGTTACTTTTGGTCCCTTAAGAAGGGGGGATGGCTGCTCTTAAGAGCTGTAATTCCTAAACCCTTCCCCCAATTTGGATGTACATACCCTCAAATTAAACCTGAGAGTGTGCACTTTCAGCCCATTAATATCCATTATATACCTATAGCTTGAATATGTTTTGGTAAACACCTGAAAAAACCTAAAATTTTGCTGGTGTCCAAATACATATGGACCTAACTGTATTTAGTATTATTGTTATTTATATAATTTTATATTGCAATACATTTAAATGTAAGTAAAGTATAACAAATATAAACACAGTAGCTGCAAGCACTGAGGAGCAATTCATCCTTAAATTTTTACAGCATAAAGCACCTTCAGTTTCATTTCAGCAGCTCTGCTCCCCCATTTCACATATAATAACATATTTTAATAAGCTACATGATGTTATAAAAATAATCGAATTCATTTCCTGGTCGGATCGTAATATTGTGGAATCGCCCATTACCTTTATAGGCCTAGCGACTACTCCCTACTCCTGGAGGTTGAATGGCTCTATGCTCACAGATGACAAATCCAGCCAACAAGTATCTACTTCAATCCAAGAATATTTTCAGCCGAACATATACCCCTGACAGTTTCCCCGGCTACGCAGTGGGTGGCCCATAAGGAGAGTTTCTTCATGGCCGCCTTATTTCTATGGCGGCCGCCAGGAATAGGGATCGTTGGAAACAAATTCAGAAGCTTACTAGAGAATTGGAAACGCATTATAGAACACACGTCGTAATAAGCATGGTAATGTTTCCTCCCTACCCCACGAAGTGTTGGATATTTTTCGGGAATTTTATTCCTCCCTGTTGGCTCCCCCCTCAGGCGGTTTCCCCTCCCCAGCAACTCTCTTGGCTTGATTCCTTACCTCTTCCTCCCTTATGCCCTCTCAGATTTCATCCCGTAATGTCCCTTGTACCAGGGGCGGACTGACCATTTGGAAACTCGGGCACTGCCCGAGGGCCCGGGGTCAGTAGGGGGCCCCATGAGATGCCCCTGGTACCTTTTTCATAGGTTTTTGTGAGTTTTGGGCAAGGACACAGGAGCCCCATGATCCCCTGGGGTCAGTAGGGGGCACCATGAGATGCCCCTGGTACCTTTTTCATAGACTTTTTTGAGTTTGGGCAAGGACACAGGGGCCCCATGATCCCCTATTGCCCGGGGGCCCCATGAGTTGTCAGTCCGCCCCTGCCTTGTACCATGGAGGAAGTTACACGGGTAATCAGCACGACGAAGAAATCCAAGGGGGGGAAAAGTCCTCTTTTTTGGTGGGACTTTAACAGCACAATTTACTTGTATGATAAATTTCAACAATTCGAAAGAGATTTTTTTCTAAAAACAGTATGAAATTTTATTTTTACAATCTTCAAAAATAAATATAAATCTACAATACATATTGCGGCGTCATCAGAGATGGTACTGCAAATCTGATCATGGATCATGCATGGTTCGCACTTGACGCGTTTCGAGATCAACAAAAATCTCTTCTTCATAAGTGCTCAAGAAGGCGTGATGTATGATTCCATGGGAGGTGAAAACCGCCAGGAAATATTAAGAACAAGGTATTATGTGAACACAGCCACGGATTTCTCATATATCTCAGGCAAAAATGATGAAACAACAATTAATAAAGAAAAAACTGAGACCAGTGGATGAAAAATGCCGCCCAAACGCTTCCTTAAGGGGTCCCGCCCAAATGCACCATCAACAAGATTACCTGCTGGTTGGTACTGATAGGGCAGTGCTACTATGAGCGCGAAGCGATGACCACAAGGAATTTGTGTGAGAAAGTGTTAATGGCCTGATAAAAGTCAGGATTGAGATGTGAAAGACAGCCCAATATGGGGCAATATACCAGGTCTATCCAAAGAAGCATGCTTGATGGCTGTGAGCAGGGGCGGACTGACAACTCATGGGGCCCCCCGGGCAATAGGGGATCATGGGGCCCCTGTGTCCTTGCCCAAACTCAAAAAAGCCTATGAAAAAGGTACCAGGTAGGGGTGGACTGACAACTCATGGGGCCCCCGGGCAATAGGGGATCATGGGGCCCCTGTGTCCTTGCCCAAACGCAAAAAAGCCTATGAAAAAGGTACCAGGTAGGGGCGGAGTGACAACTCATGGGGCCCCCGGGCAATAGGGGAACATGGGGCCCCTGTGTCCTTGCCCAAACTCAAAAAAGCCTATAAAAAAGGTACCAGGGGCATCTCATGGGGCCCCCTACTGACCCTGGGCCCTCGGGCACTGCCCGAGTTTCCAAATGGTCAGTCTGCCCCTGACCAGGTCTATCCAAAGAAGCATGCTTGATGGCTGTGAGTCAGCACATCCACAGCACTGGGCCAGGACGGGTTCACGGCTATTTATTACAAGCACTGTGCCCCTCTTTTAGCCCCTTCTTTGGTATCTATGTTCAGTGAGGTTCTGCTGGGGGGGGGGGCAGGTTTCTTGATGAGATTCTTTCAGCTAACATGTCCCTGTTGCCCAAACCCCTAAAGGATCACCTTCAACCACGAAACTGTAGACCCATTTCTGTGATGGATAATGATTTAAAGATCTTTAGCCGGATATTGGCAGATAGATTGGCCCCTATTATCTCCGCCTTGGATCAATCAGGTTTTATTCCTGACAGGCTTATCACAGATAATATACGTCTCGCGTTGAATGTCATCCAGGATGACAATTTGCACGCTACGGAGGTATTGTTATTGAGCCTGGACATCATTAAGGCCTTTGATAGTGTCCTTTGGCCATATCTGTTTTCGTTGTTGCAGAGATTGGGTTTTGGTGATGAGTTTCTTTCCGGTGTAAAGGCCCCATATAACTCAAAATGAGAATTAGACTCCCAGGATGCAATTCGGACTTTTTTTTTACCCAAGGCAGAGGCACCCGTCAGGGTAGTCCGCTCTCGCCCCTTCTGTTTGCTCTTGTTTTTGAACCCTTGGCCATTGCTATAAGGTCACACCCTGATATCTCGGGGTACCCGCTCTTAGTATCACAGTTTAGGTTATGTATGATGATGTCATGCTCCTTCTTACCAGCCATTGGTATCCTTGCCTAATTCATGCTTGTTGTTGAATGATTTTGCATCCTTATCAGGACTCTGTAAATTTTACTAAATCTGTACTGATGCCTATTAACCACTTGCCGAATGACGGCTTCACAGCGGCCGGCCAGTTCTGGGAGGGTGTCATATGACGTCCCCCCAGAACGCGCTCTCCTGCACCCGGCGATCTCCACAAATGCCCAGCAGTGTCGCCCACCTGTGCCCAGAAGTGCCCAGCAGTGCCACCCACCTGTGCCCACCAGTGCCCATCAGTGCAGACCAGCAGTGCCACCCATCAGTGCCGCCCAGCATTGCAGCCAGTCAGTGCCATCAGTCAGTGCCCATCAGTGCCACCCAGCAGTGCCACCCAGCAGTGCCCAGCATTGCAGCCAGTCAATGCCATCAGTCAGTGCCCAGCAGTGCCACCCATCAGTGCCCAGCATTGCAGCAAGTCAGTGCCATCAGTGCTGACTATCAGTGCCCATCATCTGTGCCGCCTCTCATCAGTGCCAGCTTATCAGTGCCGCCTATCAGTGCCCATCAGTGCCACCTATCAGTACTGCCTATCAGTGCCCATCAGTGCCGCCTATCCATGCCACCTCATCAGTGCTGCCTCATCAGTGCCGCCTCATCAGTGCCCCCTATCAGTGCCCCCTATCAGTGCCCCTCATCAGTGCCCACTATCAGTGCCGCCTATCTGTGCCACCTCATCAATGCCCCCTATCAGTGCCCCCTATCACTGCCGCCTCATCAGTGCCAGCTCATCAGTGCCGCCTATCAGTGCCGCCTATCAGTACTGCCTATCAGTGCCCATCAGTGCCGCCTATTAGTACTGCCTATCAGTGCCCATCAGTGCCGCCTATCAGTACTGCCTATCAGTTCCCATCAGTGCCGCCTATCAGTACTGCCTATCAGTGCCCATCAGTGCCGCCTATCATTACTGCCTATCAGTGCCCATCAGTGCCGCCTATCAGTACTGCCTATCAGTGCCCATCAGTGCCGCCTATCCATGCCACCTCATCAGTGCTGCCTCATCAGTGCCCACTATCAGTGCCGCCTCATCAGTGCCCCCTATCAGTGCCACCTCATCAGTGCTGCCTATCAGTGCAGCCTCATCAGCGCACATCAGTGAAGGAGAAAAATTACCTGTTTGCAAAATTTTATAATAGAAACAAAGAAAAACTTTTTTTTTAATTAAATTTTTTTGCTCTTTTTTTGTTTATAGTGCCAAAAAATAAAACACTCGGGTGAGTACATACCACCAAAAGAAAGCTCTATTTGTGAGAAATTGATAAAAAAATTTCATATGGATACAGTGTTGCGTGACCACGCAATTGTCATTCAAAGTGCAACAGCGCTGAAAGCTGAACATTGGCCTGGACAGGAAAGGGGGGAAAGTGCCCGGTAGGTAAGGGGTTAAAGTTACTGAATCTTTAGAGAAATCCCTCCGTGGTTCTTTTCCGTTTCGGTGGAACACGGACCAGATTCTGTACCCGAGCATTTATCTCACACCCAAATATTCTGAGCTATTTGCAGCTAATTGCCCAACATGTGTGTCTCGTCTGTGCACTTTGCTAAGATCTGGCATGGGTACAATATCTCATTTATGGGCAGAGGCACAGCTGTAAAAAATGATTATTATACAGGATTTATATTATTATTATTATACAGGATTTATGGCGCCAACAGTTTGCTCAGCGCTTTACAATATAACGGGAGACAATACAGCAACAATACAGTTCAATACAAGAGGGTTAGGAGGACCCTGATCCTGGGAGCTTACAATCTAAGAGGGAGGGGCTGGTGGTACAAAAGGTAGTAACTGTGGGGGATGAACTGGTAGGAGGAATAGAAGATTCCATTATTAGTTGAAGGCAGGATAGGCTTCCCTGAAGAGATCGGTTTTCAGAGATCGCCTAAACGTTAGTAGAGTAAGGCGATAGTCTGATAAATTGGGGTAGAGAGTTCCAGAGGATGGGGGAAGCTCTGGAGAAGTCCTGGATATGAGCATGGGAGGAGGAGACAAGGGAGCTAGAAAGCAGGAGGTGGTGGGAGGAGCGGGGAAGACGGTTTGGGTGATATTTGGAGACAAGATTGGTGATGTAATTTAGGGCGGAGTTATAAATGAACATTTTACCTAAATTCCTCTATTTATTCCAGGCGCTTCCATTGACGGTCCCTAAATCCTTCTTAGATCGCTGTCAAAGAGTGATCAGCAACCTCATTTGGCGATATAAACGTCCTCGCTATACTTCACAGGTCCTTTATAAATCGCAAAGTCAGGGTGGCTTGGGCCTTCCCAACGTTTGGCTTTATTATCTACCATTTTTCTCAATGGGCGACTGTTGACTCCCCGACGCCACGGGTCAGATTCAGGGGCGGACTGACAACTCATGGGGCCCCCGGGCAATAGGGGATCATGGGGACCCTGTGTCCTTGCCAAAACTCAAAAAAGCCTATGAAAAAGGTACCAGGGGCATCTCATGGGGCCCCCTACTGACCGGGCCCTCGGGCAGTGCCCGAGTTTCCAAATGGTCAGTCCGCCCCTGGTTACATAGTTAGTCTGGCTGAAAAAAGACAAAAGTCCAAGCACTTCAACCACAGAAAAAAAAATGTGCGAAAATGTGGCAAAATGCGTGGTTAAAAAAAAATAGTGCAGCGCAAAAAAAGATGCTTGAGCTACTTTTCCGCGTTTGACATACATACAAGAGGGGAGCACGTGGTGCACCAGCGCACATAAATGCGCACGTGCGTGGCGAAATTTTAATAATATTTGAATGCATCCTAAGGCTAGGTTCACACCTATGTTGTGTCTGAGCCCTTTCCGCTTTGCATTTTGCGTTTTTTGACCCATTTTTGATGCATTTTGTGTTTTGTTTTTTTCTTTTTTAAGTTTTCTTGTTGCTAGGCAGATTTAAAACGCTTCAAAAATGCAGCAAAAACAAAATACATGCTTTTCTGCAGCGTATCCATTGAAGTCTATAGAACCAAAAATGCAACTTTTTGCATTCAAAAAAGTTCCCGACCCTTTCCAAAAAACCGCAGCGGGTGAAAACGCGGACATGTGAATGTATCCCATAGGAAATCATGTTAACCACTTCCAGTCCGGACGCTTTTCCCCCCTTCCAGTCCAGACAGTCTCACCCCCTTCCTGTCCAGGCCAATTTTCAGCTTTCAGAGCTATCACACTTTGAATGACAATTGCGCAGTCATGCAACACTGTACCCATATGAATTATTTAGCATTTTTTTGAGACAGATAAAGCTTTATTTTGGTGGTATTTATTCACCACTGGGATTATTATTTTTTTCGCTATATAAATGAAAATGTCCAAACATTTTGAAAAAAAGTGTTTTTCTTCTAAAATTTTGCAAATAAATAATCTTTCTTCATACATCTTGGCCAATATTTATTCAGTTATATTTTTTAGTAAAAAAAAATAACCCTAATTAGTTTATAACCAAAAATTATAATTTTTATAAATAATTTTTTCACATTTTTATTTTATTTTTTGATATTATTATTTATGGTTTTTGGTTTTTTTTAACATGCCATCACCCTAGCAGTACAATGTCACCATGGTGACACTGTACTACTTGTGGGGGGTGATGAACATTTTTTTTTTTTTTTTTTTTTTTACACTGATTGCTTTTACACCCATAAAGGCTGTAAAAGCAATAATTTCTCCTTCTCTCAGGCTGCATTCCTGCAGCCATTGAGAAATACTGTGTGAGCTGTGATTGGCCACAGCTTGTCACATGGTACAAGGCTGTTGTGAATGGCCCTGTACCATGTGATCTCTGTGATCATTTACAGATTTCACACGTAGTAAGCAATGATGTCAGAAGTGGCATCTTGCTTACACCTATTCATGTGATCACTGATTGGCCAATCAGTGATCACATGATCGGGACCTCACACAAAGGTCCCGTACAGCGATCGGTGTTCCTCTGTATCCTCCGGACACAGCAGGCACCTGATCGCGGTGCCGCACGTTTCCAGGGAGTGCGCACAGTCCAAAATGGCGGGCGCTGTTTATGAACGGCAACCCACCCCTGCACTGCCACCGTCCGGCCGTTTATATACATGGGCCGGACGGGAAGTGGTTAAATGGACTGCTGTGCGTGTCTGCAAAACGCAAAATGCTAAAGGTGTGAACCTCGGGTAAAGGATTTTATTTTATATCCTGGCAGTGCTGATCCTCCTGTGGTTTTGTGGGGGAGCACACGGGTGGTGCTCCCCAGATTTGCCGCCAATATGAAGACTCAGCTGGTTTGGGCATCATTTTTGTATCTCTAGACCGCTAATCCATAAAACGCCTCCTGAACGCTCGCGTTTGTTGCAACATTGTATTGCCGAGGAAGGAAGAGGATCATTGTCAGAGATAAATTCCCAAACCTCGTTCAGAAAAATCCCGGCTTATTCACCTACGCAGGATTCCCCCCCCCCCCCTCGCCATACTGGCTGAGGGATGATTTCTCGCTCTTTCATTACAATCCAGCGTTACAGCAAGGAAAGGGATTTAAAGATTTAGAAGCCTGGTGTCTGCTAACTTTATTAGGGGCAGATTATTGAATTGCGCAGGAAATCCGGTGTCACAGGTAAAGTTAAATAGCCGTCTTTCGTCTTGTTACAGAGGAGAGTTATAGAATTAAAGGTCTCTGAGGTCACCGGCTATTTATAGGGGAAGAATACGGTTATTTTACATTGTTAGGCTACATGACAAGAACACGTGGTGACAGCGCTCCTCAGACCTTCTACACATGACGGCGACAGTGCTCCTCAGACCTTCTACACATGACGGCGACAGTGCTCCTCAGACCTTCTACACATGACGGCGACAGTGCTCCTCAGACCTTCTACACATGACGGCAACAGTGCTCCTCAGACCTTCTACACATGACGGCGACAGTGCTCCTCAGACCTTCTACACATGACGGTGACAGTGCTCCTCAGACCTTCTACACATGACGGTGACAGTGCTCCTCAGACCTTCTACACATGACGGCGACAGTGCTCCTCAGACCTTCTACACATGACGGCGACAGTGCTCCTCAGACCTTCTACACATGACGGCGACAGTGCTCCTCAGACCTTCTACACATGACGGCGACAGTGCTCCTCAGACCTTCTACACATGACGGCGACAGTGCTCCTCGGACCTTCTACACATGACGGTGACAGTGCTCCTCAGACCTTCTACACATGACGGCGACAGTGCTCCTCAGACCTTCTACACATGACGGTGACAATGCTCCTCAGACCTTCTACACATGACGGTGACAGTGCTCCTCAGACCTTCTACACATGATGGTGACATGCTCCTCAGACCTTCTACACATGATGGTGACAATGCTCCTCAGACCTTCTACACAAGATGGTGACAGTGCTCCTCAGACCTTCTACACATGATGGTGACAGTGCTCCTCAGACCTTCTACACATGATAGTGACAATGCTCCTCAGACCTTCTACACAGATGGTGACAGTGCTCCTCAGACCTTCTACACATGATTGTGACAGCACTCCTCAGACCTCATACACATGGAGGTGACAGTACTCCTCAGACCCCATACACATGGAGGTGACAGTGCTCCTCAGACCTTCTACACATGATGGTGACAGTGCTCCTCAGACCTCATACACATGACGGTGACAGTGCTCCTCAGACCTTCTACACATGATTGTGACAGCACTCCTCAGACCTTCTACACATGATGGTGACAGTGCTCCTCAGACCTTCTATACATGACAGTGACAGTGCTCCTCAGACCTTCTACACATGATTGTGACAGCACTCCTCAGACCTCATACACATGGAGGTGACAGTACTCCTCAGACCCCATACACATGGAGGTGACAGTACTCCTCAGAACTCATACACATGATGGTGGCAGTGCTCCTCAGACCTTCTACACATGATGATGACAGTGCTCCTCAGACCTCATACACATGGAGGTGACAGTACTCCTCAGACCCCATACACATGGAGGTGACAGTGCTCCTCAGAACTCATACACGTGATGGTAGCAGTGCTCCTCAGA